ACAACCAAAGACTGAGTGTTCCTGTGGTAGGTTTCTGGCCGGCTTCTGGGCATCTTGGCTACCCAAATAAGAGTTTGGTGTGCTCCTGATAAGCCTCAGTAACTTTCTGAGCAGGGTTAAGTGACTCGCACAGCAAGTCAGCTGTTTCACCAGGGCAGGGGAATTCTTGTGTCTGCAGTTTCAGTATCTAGCTGTTGAGCTATGTTTAGTCTATGGCTATAAAGTAGCCTTGTTTCTATTCTGAGAATATTTGTCTAATCAGGGGTCCAAGGAATTATTTTGCCAGTAGAAAGTTATGTTTATTTGGGTAAGTTTATACTCCAGGATGGGTGCCTTGGAAAAGCCCAATAAAGGCTGTGCATTGCTGGAGTGTTTCAGGGCATGGTGCACACCTGTACAAAAGGCAAACTTCTTATTTTTGCAGAAATAAGAGAAAGGTTTTACACTCACGGCTTCTAGCCAGCTCCGAAATGAGGCCCGCTTGCAACCCGAGCGCTGCTTGCTGCAAAGAGTTACGCTTCCCCAGATGCTGCGGATGCTCCTCTGCCTGCGGGCGAGGAGCAGTGCTGGCCAAGGCTGGCCTCACGGGCACAGCCCCGGCCTGGGATGCCCACGCTGCTCATTAGCTTCTCCCAATAAGTCTTCATCTAAGACGTGCTTGGCAACTTGAACTTTATTCTCATGTAGCTGCTCTCTTCAGAACTTCGTTTGGTTTTGCAAATCATAGATGACCCCAGCACCCATCTCTGGCTGCTACGTTAGGAAGTTAATGAAATACTGAGCTGAGGGACACTTGAAGGGTCAAGGCCCATCACCTGGGACAGGGAAGACTGATTTACGAGCCTCCCCAAGTCCTTTTGGTTCATCCCAACCTCCTCATCCCTGAAGGCGTGAGGAAACCACGATCTTACACCTAGGACCTTAGGATGTTTTTACCAGCAGTCTTCACCTTTTTTACCTATGGGGTCACAGCATTTTTTGAACTTAACAAAGCATTCAGCACTTTCTGGAGATTATTCTCATTTTCCCCTTTAAATTCTTTCCCTGGGGTGCTTTGCCTCATGGCTGCCTTCAGCTTGGCGAGCTTCGTCCGGCGGATGAACCAAGAGCACCCGCACCTCGGTGGACTTTACCCTGTTTGCACATGACAAACACAGCTGAGTTGTGACTATTCGCAACTGAGCAACCACTAATTTTTAGCCCCAGGATAAATCCTTGTTATCTGCTGAGATAAGATCCGCTACAGCATCCTCCCCATTTTGGAAGGCACCGGTTTCCGCATTGGGAAATTTCCTTCGGCCGCCATGCGAAACGGCAGCGCGGCAGCAGCGATGTCCGCAGGCAGGGGCCTGCACACCCACCGGAGCCTCCGGGGGAGCCCGC